GTTGAGCAGTGGTTTGTAGTTCTCCTTGAAGAGGTCCTTCACATCCTTTGTTAGTTGTATATCTAGGTATTTTATTCTCTTTGTAGCAATTTTGAATGGGAGTTCTTTCATGATTTTGCTCTCTGTTTGTCTGTTATTGGTGTATAGGAAGCCTTGTGATTTCTGCACATTGATTTTGTATCCCAAGATTTTGCTAAAGTTGCTTATCAGCTTAAGGAGATTCTGGGCTGAGACAATGGGATCTTCTAAATATACAATCATGCCATCTGTAAATAGAGACAATTTTCCTAATTGAATACCCTTTATTTCTCTTTCTTGCCTGATTACTCTGGCTAGAACTTCCAATACTATATTGAATAGGAATGGTGAGACAGGGTATCCTTGTCTAGTGCCAGTTTTCAAAGGCAATGCTTCCAGTTTTTGCCCTTTCAGTATGATGTTGGCTGTGGGTTTGTTGTAAATAGCTTTTATTATTTTGAGATATGTTCCGTGGAGATCTAGTTTATTGAGAGTTTTTAGCATAAAGGGCTGTTGAATTTGTCAAGGGCCTTCTCTGCATCTATTGAGATGATCATGTGGTTTTTGTCTTTGGTTCTGTTTATGTAATCGATTACATTTATAGATTTGCATATGTTGAACCAGCCTTACATCCCTGGGATGAAACCTACTTGATAGTGATGGATAGATTTTTTGATGTGCTGTTGCATTTGGTTTGCCAGTATTTTATTGAAGATTTTTGCATCTATGTTCATCATGGATATTGGCCTGAGGTTTTCTTTTTTTGTTGTGTCTCTGCCAGGTTTGGTATCAGGATGATGTTGGTCTCATAAAATGAGTGAGGGAGGATTCCCCCTTTTTGTTTTGTTTGGAATAGTTTCAGAAGTTATGGTACCAGCTCCTCTTTGTATGTCAGATAGAATTCAGCTGTGAACCTGTCTGGACCTGGACTTTTTTTGGTTGGTAAGCTATTAATTGCTGCCTCAACTTCAGCCCTTATTATTGGTCTATTCAGGGTTTCAACTTCTTCCTGGTTTAGGCTCAGGAGAGTCCAAGTGTCCAGAAATTTATCCATTTCTTCCATGTTTACTCATTTATGTGCACAGAGTTGTTTGTAGTAATCTCCGATGGTAGTTTGTATTTCTGTGGAATTGGTGGTGATGTCCCCTTTATCATTTTTTATTGCATCTATTCAATTCTTCTCTCTTTTCTTTTTGTCTGGCTAGCAGTCTATCTATTTTGCTGATCCTTTTAAAAAAGCAGCTCCTAGATTTATTGATTTTTGAAGTGTTTTTTGTGTCTCTATCTCCTTCAGTTCTGCTCTGATCTTAGTTATTTCTTGTCTTCTGATAGCTTTTGAATTTGTTTGATCTTGCTCCTCTAGCTCTTTTAATTTTGACAATAGGGTTTCGATTTTAGATCTTTCCTCACTTCTCATGTGGGCATTTATTGCTATAAATTTCCCTCTAGACACTGTTTTAAATCCCAGAGATTCTGATATGTTGTTTCTTCATTCTCATTGGTTTCAAAGAACATCTTTATTTCTGCCTTCATTTCGTTGTTTATCCAATGATCATTCAGGAGCAAGTTGTTCAGTTTCCAACTATTGCATTATTGTAGTGTATCTGTTACAATTGATGAACCAATATTGGTGAATTAACTAAAAAGTCCATAGCTTACATTGTGGCTTGCTCTGAGTCACACAGTTGTATGTGTTTTGACAAGTGCATGATTTCATGTATCTACTATTATAGTAGCATCACAGAGTTATTATACTGGCCTAAATATCACCTGTGTGCCATCCCTTCATTCTTCACTCCCTCCCCTCAAACCATGGAAGCCACCATTTTCCTATCTCTGTAATTTTGCCTTTTCCAGAATGTCATATAATTAGAACCATCCAGTGTATAGCCCTTTTTTAACTAACAATATGTATTTGAGATTCCTCCAAGTCTTTTCACAGCTTGATAGTGCATTTCTTTTTATTGCTGAAAAATATTCCATTGTATGAATAACAGATGTACCACAGATTGTTCATCCATTACCTCTTGAAGGACATCTTAGTTCTATGTTCTGGCAATTATGACTAAAGCTGCTGTAAACAGTCATGTGCAGATTTTTATGTGGACATAAAATTTCAACTCACTTGGGCACATACCTGGGAACATACTTGCTAGATCATACGATAAGACTATGTTAACTTTGAAAGAAATTGGCAAACTATCTTTTTAAATGGCTGTACCACTTTGCAGTCCACAAGCAATGAGAGTTCCTATTGCTCCACATCCTCACCAGCATTAGTGTTGCCAGTGTTTTGAATTTTACCTCTTCTAATAGGTATGTAGTTGTAGATCATGTTTTAATTTGCAACTCCCTAATCACATGTGATGTTGAGCATCTTTTCATATACTTATTTGCTATCTGTATATCTTTGATTAAGTATCTGTTCAGAGCGATCTTTTGCCCATAATTTTTTTTCCTTATAGTTGAGTTTTAAGACCTCTGTGTATATTTGAAATACAAATCCTCTATCAGATATGTTTTTGCAAATACTTTCTCCCAGTGTGGCTAGTCATTTTATTCTCTTAACAATGTTTTTCACATAAGTTTTTAATTTTCATGCAATCCATCATGTTAATATTTTTTGTTAATGGTTTTTGTTATGGTGCCTAAAAAAACCAAAGCTACCTAGATTTTCTCCTGTTACTTTCTAGAAGTTTTATAGTTTTGCATTTTGTGTTTAAGTCTATGATCCATTTAAGTTAATTTTTGCAAAAGGTTTAAGGTCTGTGTTTAGATTTATGATTTTGCATGTGGATATTCAGTTGTTCTGGTACCATTTATTGAAAAGATTATTATTTCTCCACTGAACTGCCTTTATTCCATTGTCAAAGGTCATTTAACTATATTTATGTGGGCCTAGTTCTAGGCTCTCCGTCTCTTGCCAATAGCACACTTTATTACTATATTTTTGTAGTAAGTATATTTTCTTTATTTAGTGTTGTATATCTTCTTTATTACTATAGTTTTGTAGTAAGTTTTGAAGTTGGGTGGTGTCAGTCCTCTGACTTTGTTTTTCTTCAATACTGTGTTGGCTATTCTGGGTCTTTTGCCTTGCTACATAAATTTTAGAATCAGTTTGTTCTTAGCCACAAATAACTGGCTGGGATTTTGGTTGTGTTTACATTGAATCTATAGATCAAGTTGGGAAGGACAGACATCCTAACAATATTGAGTCTAACTATCCAAGAACATGGACCATCTCTCCATTTATTTAGATCTTCTTTGATTTTTGTAGTTTTCCTCATATAGCCTTTGTGAATATTTTGTTTATTTATACCTATTTTTTCTTATTTTTTTAAGTGATGATACAACTTTTTATTTCAAATTCCAATTGTTCATTGCTGGTATATAGGAAAGCAACTGTCTTTTTAAGTATTACTCTTGTATCCTCCAACCTTGCTATAATTCAATCTTGCCATAATCAATTATTAGTTCTATGAGTTTGTTGGAAGCACAACATTTTCTGTTTTTAAAAAAATCAGTAAAAATAGGAAGGAAAAGATCCATTAAAACTTCAAGAAACTGAACAAATAAACCCACTTGCATTGTGCATGAGTAACATAACCATCCAGGAGGACAAAAATAAATTAATCAAGTAACTGCTGAACTTGTCGTTTGACTATGTATTCTTAGTTGAGTATCAGGGAAACAATGCAAACAATGCTGACTTCTTTTTAGGTTTGTATAGTGTAGTGGTACTGCTGAAGCAATCTGAAATTAGTTTTAGGTGTATGGTAGAGTTAGGTACACAAATATGTTGAGGTTATTGTTGAGCCTTCTTCTACCATATCCATACAGGTATAGAAAGCGGAAAAGCAAGAAAAAAGGACTCTGTGGAAGTGCATTGGAATTGGAGGCATCAGCATGAATTCATGATTTCTAATACAATAGGAATCCTTTTGCCGTGTAAGACAAAGACAGGCTGAAGAGCTATACTGTATTTAAAGAGACTAAAGTAGCATGATGACTAGATACAATATGTGCTCTTGAAGTGGATCTGTACTAAAGAAAAAATATGCTACGAAAAACATTACTGGGTCAGTTGACAAATCTGGAATACAGATGATACATCACAATATTGCATCATTGTTAAATCTCATCAAATTGCTAACTCTACTGTGATTATTTTGTGGAATCTTCTTGTTTTTAGGAAATATACTTGGAATTATTTAGAAATAATGGGGCATGACATGCTATTTACTCTCAAGTGGTTCAGAAAAATATGTATATATTACACATCTATTTGTATGCCTATGTGTTTATGCACACACTACTCACCGTAAATGCACACGATACAGTAAATGAGGCAAAAGGTTAACAATTGTGAATCTGGGTAAAGGGTGCACAGGGTTTCTTTAAATTATTCTTGCAACTTTTCCATAGCATGAAATTCTTCCAAATAAAAGATTTCTAAAAGGTTAGTGTTAGGCATGCACGCAAAAAAATTAAGGATAATTGAGGTAGACTTTTGAAAGCAGGAAGTATGATAACATCAAATATTTTGAAGGACTGTCATGTGGAAGGAGGATTAAGACTTATAATTTGGTTAATCTTATTTTGTGTCATTCTGCTTTGTGTAATATCATTACAGCATATGCAAGTACTCATGGCTGAAATAAGAGACAGTAGGTTTTAAGTTTTATGGAGTCTTCAGTATAATTCAGTACAGAGAGGTACAAAATCGTGATTCTGAGGGTTCACTGGGTAGCATAAACGAGTGAAGGGGACAGGGTGCAGAAAAATGGAAAATGATGGGAATTTGAGAGCAATGTCTTTTCCAAAGGCTTTCAAATATTAAAGGCAAACGCAAAACACTGTGCAGTAATCCCGCACTGTGTCTAGCCTGTGAGTGGCCAGTCATGACCCACAATCTTATCTAATCCTTTCTGTCAGATAAGGAAACAAGTACCAAACATCATAAAACACAGTGCGTAAGAGAATGAAAGGTGTAAGTGGGTGCATATATATTTTTAAAAAAACACAATTTTTAATGAAAGAAACTAATATCCACACATTTGTACTTATGTACAATTGGGGTAATATATAATTTTAAGCTGTTTACAAATAATATGTAATGCTTCAAATATTACATAAGGTTGATAATACATTTCTAGCAGAAATAAATATATTGCACTTAAAAAGAACTGCATTAGATGTTACTTCATAGTATTAGGCTTATAACTTCTTTTTTTCATAAAACATTTCCCATGCCCTTCCCCCACCCCCAGCACACACATTTCATTACAGTGACTGTTCTCACGCAATTCATAAGCAAATGAACACAGCAAACAACAGAACTGTGATAGTGTCTACTAAAGAGGCTTTATCCAATTTTATACCATAGGAAATAAAACAACTTCTTTTATGTTCCTGAAAATAAGGGAGGAAAAAAGCCAACAAAACATAATATTTTAATGAACCAGAAGTAAAATACAAGTTGTATTTTTTGTCCATATGTATTATTTCACAAAAATGATTTTGTTTTCTTATTATCAAGATATTTCATTTAAAAAGGAGAGGGTAGTGAAATTATTTGAGAGAAGGACAGAGAAAAAAGAGCTAGAAAATACATATGAAATATTTACCTATCAAATATTTATAAATGAATCTTTCCATATTTAAGCATTCTGAAGAAAGATAAGTCTTGGAATATTATAATTGGCATAGAATATAAGTAGCAACGAAAGGATTTGATGGTTTTCTAAAATTTAAGAAGTTTGTAACTTTCTCTATGTGTGCTTACAAAACAAATCCGTACATTCTAAAATAACATTAAAACTTGTATAAAACCCATCCTCCAGCCAGGCACAGCTCTTTAAAGGAGAAAGCTGAAAATCTTATGTTCTGTCCAGTGCATTGTCTAGATTTAGGGTAGAGTACTGCTTTGTTTATAATAATTATCAGTCTACTACAAGTTTAATAATGACAACAGTTTTTCTTACTTAGTCACTGGAAGATTAAGTTGTTTTTCTTGCAGTTTGTTACTCTGCACATTCCATAACTGGATTTTTTGAACTTTTTAGTTACTGAGTCATGGAGAAGCTTGACGAGTATTTAATGGGGTGTAAAGTCATTTCATCCTCTTTACTTGAAAGTGATTTTTTCAATATAAGTCAGCTTATATATGCAGGACAGCCTGAAAAGCTATTGTGAAATACAGAAATGGGGTAAATATACTAACATCTCTTTGAAAAAGGCAGCATGGGATGAGGATGCTTTACGTCTAAGAATATTTGTTCCTTGGCCTTTTAAAGAGTTTTCTTTTTCCTTTTTGGTGGGGAGGGAGCAGCTGGAGAAGAAAGCGTGTTGTCCTGGCTGGAGAAGCAAAATAATGGAGACATGGATAAGGAGGGGAGACCTTGGAATGCCCCAGAAGTCAATGTAACTCCTACTATAATATAGACCTACACAGGGCCTTTACTAGATGATGACTGACCAGGAAACTTCTTAGTATCTCTTACTCTGTCCCCACCTACTAGGAACCGTGGTAAGCCTTGGGACAAGTTACCATTGTTATTAACTCAAAAGGTCCAGCAATACAGTATAAGTTCACTAATTTAGACCTTGTTAACTAATAATCTGTGATGTATTAGACAAGCTGGATATGTTTACCTATATATTGTCAAGGGTAGACAGAGGAGACAGGAAGACTGACTAAATTTAAAAAAAAATTGAATCTACTCAGAATTATTGATGTTTTAAAAACAAATCCCAATTGCAAAACCTATTAAGTTCTGAATTAATTCCTTGGGATTAGATAAAGCAGATCTGGCAGGACCTCTTTTTAGTAGCACTTCCCATTAGCCAAGCTTTTTGACACCGTAATATACTCGGGGTTGGGGGAGACCCTGACTATATTCTAAATATATTATAATTCATGATCTTTATTATTCAATTGGCTTTCCCATTAAATATGTAGTTCTTGAAATTAATTTTGCTAGAATGGGCTTTGGAATTTTAAATACTAAACCCACAAGGGTTTAATAAGAATCAACCACCAGGATACCTCAGAAAGGCCCAGGTAGGCAAAATTTCTACCCCTTGGTTTCCACGGCTCAAGTGACTCTGATTAGGTTAAGCTCTATTTCACTTGTGCTTCTTTTCTCTGTTTTGAATAATACTTAAAATATATATATCCAATTTAGAATTTTAGGTCTGACTAGTCTTTGTTTTCTCTAAACATTCTTATTTGTAGCCGTGTATTGCTTAATTACAAAATAAAATTAGAAAGTCAGGAAATACTAGTGTAAATCCATATTTAACAAAAACACACAAATCTATTTGAGACCCACAGATGGTAGAAATGTCAAAACAGTATGTGTTAAAACAATCTTTTCATCCTCTTTAAAAAGAAAATTCAGACACAGATTCACCTTAGTGGACCAGTAATTTATCAGGGTTATTGAGTAGTATTGTGTAAAACATTTTTTGTTATTCCTGCTTTAAGCAGCAGTACTCTATATTCAAAGGAATGCTGGCAACAGACCAGCTATTAAATATTAAACCCCTATCCTAGCTCTATGGATAGTTTAAACATTACTCATAACTGCTTTTTAAAAGAAATACACATCTGTACTTTGTTTGAAAACAAACTACCTGTGGATACTACAGCCTAACATGCAACAAGTTAAAAATTAGCCCACAGTGTTTGCTGTAGGATTGTGAGATGCTTTGTTAACACAGCCCATGCTTTTCTGTAAGTAAACTGTGGAGTATAGTGGACAATAGCAAGTGCAAAATCCAACAACAGCATCACCTAGACAGGCTGTGCCGTGATGCCTTGTTTCATAGGCTGAAAGTGCCCAAGAAAGGCATGTGATATGAAAGAGGCTAACATTAAAACCATCAAATAAAATCCCTTGGGAGTCTGATGTGATAAGTATATTGCATTTCCTCCCAAATATACTTCTCCTGTCAATAGAAATAGTTCCCATCTCTTTTAACAGATTCAATACTTTTGTAGCAAGAAGAGTAAAATGAATATTACATACAAAAATTAAATTAGAGTTTTGCAGAAATTTGCTAAGAGAACAGGTTACATCCTGTAGTTGAAGTGCATTAAATCTAAAGTTGAAAAACTATTAATTTCATTAAATCTCTGTTATTAGGGAAATAAACTGTTGCAAAATGCCAGATGTGTTACCCTGACTATAAATGCTTATATATATGTTGTTCAAAAACAATATACAGGTCATATAGAACTAAAATATAATTTGTTACTATTATAAACACATTAAAAGAAGCTTAAGAAGATAGCAAAAGCTGAAAATAAAGAATGCTTTAGTTTACTTATAAGAACTACCAACATTTCAGTTAAGGAGCCATTACATTAACAAGTGGTTTAATATTACAGACCTAGCAAAATGGTAATGGAGTCATTGAATGTAACACAGTAAGAAAAAAGGCCAAATTAGATGTATGGACACATTTCCACTCAGGAGTATAGGTTAAGTCATGGCCATCCCGGCGTTTAGAATGGTCATTCTTAAATCCCTGTCAATCACTGGCAGTAACAACAAAGCAGATTTACTGAAAATGAGAATTTGTCTGGATGCATTTCAACATCCATAAGGTCTCCCAAAACTGAAGTGAAAGTGAAGGGACCTCTGGCACCAATGGCAGAGAACTCCTTTTGGAATTGAACAACCATCTTTCTGCTGCAGCTGTAAGTGAAAGCAAGCCTCACATAACAACATACCTAGGCTTTGGAGTATTCCTCAGTGAATTAGTCAGTAGTGTTTAGAATGCAGCCCAGAAAAATCAACCTTCAGTTTTACCATGTAACATAGAGAGGCTCTTGCTTCAAAACTGTATATGGAAGATTTTTCCTCCATAACTCTAGCCCTAATCCTAACTCTGGCAAGTATTTGCAATAAAGAGAACAAGGAAGAAAGAAGACTGTGAAAACCACGCTTGTTGGTTACTGGCCCTTCAATATTACAAATAGAACTTTGTGAAGTCATTACCATGTATTCATCCACAAAACAGGATGCATTAGCATTATCTCAGCTCCTTCCCCAGCAGACTAACACAAAAGAAAACTAAACATGCTTATGCTACATCACTACAAATATTTTCTACTGGCTCCAATTTTCTACAGGGATAAATTGACTTCAGTTAGTCATCATGGTCAGTATGCTATATAGTATGTCCTCTTTGAAGAGTCTTTTATCCTGTGAAAAGCAGAATGAAACCTCATACACAATGATTTTATACATTACTGCATCAACACAGCATTTTAACCATGAGGAATAATGCACCTTAAGATTCATCAGCCTTGTATTATTAAACTTTCAAGCTGGCTGAGAACTTTACATGGATTCTCTCCTGAACCCAAGAGCTGTCCCCCAACTACAGATGAATCCTGGTCCATGGTGCATTCCCTCAGTGGTAGGTTTTATTGTGAGTCCAGCTCTCCTCTTTGATAGTTCCCATGTCTCCTGGAAAGCCCCTGCTCCAGTACCCCCATCCCACCCACCCAGCCCTGTCCTATATTTCCATACCCATTTGCGCATTCTGGATCTGGATTCTCCCATTTTTAGAAGAGTCATACAAATGGCGTCATCACAGCAGAGGAATGGCGCAGTCCTTGAATGGCAGCATAGGGCCCCTGCTGAAAATAGTGATGGTATCGCGGCATGTGGAATGAAGGGAATGTGGGGCCACTCCCTTGCATGGAGCTGGCAATGGCCGATGGGGTCAGAGGCATTCCCAGTCGGCTATATGGAGGCAGAGAACCCTGGATGGGGTGAGGAATGGGTGTTGCTATGGATGCTGTGCTGGTGCCAAGAGCAGTCAGGGACTGTGGGTGCTGAAACCCAGGAAAACTGGAAGAAGATGATACCCAGGAACTTAGTGACAAATTATCAGATGTTGTAAAGGCTGACCCTGTAAGGAAAAATACTCATTAGATTGTAAACACTGGGTCAATGTACAGATCAAGAATTAAATTATCTGTTAAGATCTATTTGTATTGAAGAATATTTAATATATCTGTAATTTAAAAGGACAAACACACATAAGATTTGCCACGAGGCAAATCTACCTCGATAAGAAGATGATATTTACACCCTGCATGGAAGGAGAATTTACTAAATGGAAAAAGACAACTCATTGGATAGCCTGCACACTCTCACAGAGTGGCCAAAACATTAATACCCTGCCTGCAGGTAATGACCTGATTCTCTTAAAATGAGCTGCAAATACCTCATATCTGTTCTGACTCTGTAGTGTCATAAGGAAGGCTGAATGTACTAACTCTCTACCAAGCTGTCTGGTTTCCAAAACTTCTGTGAAATCTAAGAAAGTAAGTTTTCCTACATTGCAGCATCCAGAAATTTAGAATAGAGTTGACACTGAATTTTCTGAAAGTATACAGTTGACCCTTGAACAACAGGGGTTAGAACTGCACAAGTCCACTTACATGCAGGTATTTTTCAATACAATTTGCACTGAGTGTGCCTGACCCTCTTGCCTCACTTTCACCGTCTCCACCTCTTCAGCCTCCTCAACCTCCGAGCCAACCTCTCCTCTTCTTCCTCTACCAGTATACTCAATGTGAAGATGAGGATGACAACCTTTATGATGATCCACTTCCACTTAAGGAATAGTAAATATACTTGCTTTCTCATTATTTTCTTAATAACTTTTTCTCCAGCTTGATTTATTATTAGAATACAGAGTATAATACATGTAACACACAGAATATGTATGAATTGACTGTTTGTGTTATAGGTAAGGCTTCTGATCAACAGTAGGCTATCACCAGTTAAGTTTTAGAAGTCAAAAGTTATAGGTACATTTTAGACCACATGGGAGGTGGTACCCCTAACCACTGTGTTGTTCAAGAGTCAACAGTAATACTAGTGGTTCACTTGGACTGAGTTATAAGAAATGTCCTATGATTTCACAGATTATATACTTTCATATCAAGGACATAAATCAATGACAGGGGGCTCTCTCCCTATGTGAACTTTCCTGTTCCCAGAATGGAGCACTTCTGGGCTGTTTTCTCTGGACTCTTCCCAGATGCAGGGGATTGCTGTCTGAGCCTTGGCAACAGAGAAACTTTGCTCAGTTCCTGCTGGCACCACTGGGGCCACTGCCTCTATGTAATATCCTCCGCTAGGACAATCCTCTTTTAAAAGTATTTTCTAATTTGGTTTTTGATTCTAACAAATTATTCCTGACACAGATGGAACAGATATATTCCTTCATTTTCAGATTATATAACTGAGGTTCAGCAGGACTTGGGGACTGCTCCCAAAGTTCAATAGCTCTTATGTACTAAATCATGGACAAGTAACCCCTGATCCCTGACTCAAAGGCTCAATATTCTTTCACTAAAAAAAACAAACCATAGGAAACCTGCAGGCAGCATCATAGCCTATGACTCAAAGGCAAAATAATGAAATGTGTGAGGATCAGTGTCAGGGGCTGTCCTTTCCCATGGAGGCTCCTGAAATCCTTTTTGAGCATCATGTACACTGAGGACTGGCCGTGTCATCAATGACCTGCCCCCATTCTCCTTTAGGTTTTCTGGCTCCTAGCAATTCCATGGCCTTGGAAGCTGACTTACCTCGATTTGGGGTTGTCTGACTCTCATCCCCCAAGACATCCTCTTCTCCTCCATAGGTACGGATGGGTGAGCGCGCATAGGAATGCTTTTGAATCAGGCTCTCCACACTTTCCCTAGGTTAGAATGACATACAGGTTAACTACAATGTGAAGAACTCAGAGATAGAGAGAGGTCTTAGAGGTAACTCACTAATCAGCAAAGCCATTTTCGCAGCCAAAATGCAGCCACTGGCATGGAAAAATGAAATTCAAAACATGTACATTTATTCTGTAGTACAGTGACTCCTGAGATACATGACCTCAGGTGCATGACTGCAAGCAAACATGACTGACTAGGATAAGGACAATCCCCTGAAATCCTATAAAATGAAGGACAAAGGGGTGAACAAAGAACTGTGAAAGCTGACCATAGGAATATGGAATTCTATGATGTGAGAAATAATGAATGAATGAATTTACTACAAGGAGCTGCAATGACTCTTCTTTTTTTTTTTGAAACGGAGTCTCGATCTATTGCCAGGCACTAGGCTGGACTGCAGTGGTGCGATCTCAGCTCACTGCAACCTCCGCCTCCCGGGTTCAAGCAATTCTCCTGCCTCAGCCTCCCGAGTAGCTGGGACTACACGTGCAGGCCACCATGCCCAACTAATTTTTGTATTTTTTAGTAGAGACGGTGTTTCACCATGTTGGCCAGGATGGTCTCGATCTCAATCTCATGATACACCTGCCTCAGCCTCCCAAAGTGCTGGGATTACAGGCATGAGCCACCGTGCCTGGCCAATTCTTCTTACTGATTTCAACAGCTAACGAATACAAAACAGATACTCGGCTGATACAAATTCCACTGATCCAACAACCAAGGAAATGTTGGCAAAACTTCAAATTATCATTCGTCATCGAAAGACTAATATTCACCAAGATATCAAACAAATTCATAGATTATAGTACAATATGGATAGTTTGGATAATGAATACTAAGATCCTTGTTGCTGTAAGAGTGAAAATTACAAAAACCCATGAAGAAAACACAAACGGTCAACAAGGTGTTTCAGCCCCCAGGTAAATTGGTACATTGTTTTGTAGATGGTCTTCCTCCTGAAACATAATCTATAAACCAAAGAGTGAGGTTAACTTTAAAAATTAAAAAATTATTTTGGCATTGGACAATTTGACCTTCTGCTTAAAAAAAAAAAAAAAAGCCAGTGAAGTGCATACTAATAGAAGATTAGTCTGCATGGCGCACATTTCTGGAATAGCTGTGGCCCGAAGACCAATGCCAAACTGACCACCAAAGGACAAAAGAGGACTTATAAAATAAGTGTTGAATGAGGAAGGACAAAACACCACATTTCATATTGATGGAATATGGAAAGCAAATAAAATGTCATAATAACTTTTCAAAATGTTATCACTTGTCAACATTTCACATAAATATGCAAATGTTACCTGTGAAAAATTACTACCTAATTCATAGTAAGTTTGGTGTTGTACAAAGCTTGTACACCCACATAGATGAAGGTAGTTTATCATAATGTATAGTATGACTGTGAAGATTTAAGGATATGCCTAAAAGAAAAATTAATTCTGCAACTATTTGTTACATTTTTATTCTCAAATGGTTTTAAAGTAAGAATAAAGCACCACCTCATATGGTCAAAATAATTAAGATCCAGATCCACTGCAGTAACACATAGCTATCAAAAAGAATGAGGTCATTCCTGGAATAATTTTCAAGACACAGGAAGTGAAGGAGGTTAAAATACAGGATGATGTGTAAAGTACGCTACCATTTGTGAAATTAGAACAAGGGATATGTGTATTCATATATGTCTGCATGTGCATAGGATTTCCAGAATGTTCCGGTTTCCAGAACAAGAAACTGCCTAGAAGAGGTTGCCTCTGCAGGGTGAAGCCAGGGACCTGAAGGACTGGAGTGGTGATTCTCAAATTTGTCTATATGTTTGAATCACCTAGGGATTTTGAAAAAAAAAATAACAAAACCATATTGAGATATGAGTAAAATACAAAATGTGGCACATATTTAAAGTGTATGGGCTGGGCGCAGTGGCTCACACCTGTAATCCTAGCACTTTGGGAGGCCCAGGTAGGCGGATCACCCAAGGTCAGGAGTTTGAGACCAGCCTGGCCAATATGGCAAAACACCATCTCTATTAAAAATACAAAAATCAGCCAGGCATGGTGGCAGGTGCCTATAATCCCACCTACTCAGGAGGCTGAGGCAAGAGAACTGATAGAACCTGAAGGTGGAGGTTGCAGTGAGCCAAGATTGTGCCACTTCACTCCAGCCTGGACAAAAGAGAGAAACTCCCATCTCAAAAAATAATTATAAAGTGTACAGTTTGATCAGATTGGGCACATATATGCACAAGTGACACCATTGCCACAAGCAAAATAACAAAAATATCCAACACCTACAAAAGTTTCCTCCAGCTCCTATATTCTCTGGTCCCCATTGCAACAAACCTTTCCGAGGAAACCACTAATATAATTTTGTGTTCTTGCAGATTAGATGGAATCTTATCTAATGTATTCTTTTTTATCTGGTTTCTTTCACTCAGCATATTTTAAGATTTATCACATTGAGGCATACATTAATATTTCTTGTTCTGAGTAGCATTCTGTTGCATGGATATATTGTGGTTTATTTACTTATTGATGAATATTTGGCTTGTTTCTAGTTTTTGAATGCTGCAAATGAAGCTACTACACTATTCATGTATACTTTAAAAAAATGGACATACACTTTTATTTATCTTGGAAAGACACCTAAGGATGAAATGACTACATTGCATGGTTAGGTCTATGTGCAATTTTTAAGGAAACTGCCAAACTATTTGTCAAAGTGGTCAACCAATTTATCATTCCCACCATCAGTGTATGAGAATTCCAGGTCTTCTATATTCTTACTACACCTGATATTGTCAACCTTTAATTTTAGCTATTGTAATATGCATGTGCTTATATTCCATCATACTTTTAAATGTGTTCCCCTAATGACTCTAATGTTGAACATCCTTTTCTGTATGTATTTGATTCTGTATTTCTAGCTGTTAATATTCTGTTCATTTAAAAAATTATGTCATTTGTTTTCTGAGTTTTGAGATTTCTTTTAATATTCTGGGCACTAGTGTTTATAGAATATATGATTTACAAATATTTTCTTCCAGGCTGTGGCTTGTCTTTTCTCTTTCCTTTCTTTTTAAAAGCAGAGTTTTAAATTTTAATAAAGTGCAATTTATCCATTTGTAATTCTATGGATCATGTTTTTGGCGCCATATTTAAAAATCTTTGCCTAACCCAAGACCACAAAAGTTTTCTCCTAATTTTTTTCTGAAAGTGTTATAGTGTGAGGTTTTATATTTGTATCTATGATTCAGACTGAGTTAATTTTATATATGGATGATTTATGAATTGATGTTCATCTTGTGTCTATGGATATCCCATTATTTCCACATATTTGTTGAGAAGACTGTCCCTTCTCCATCATGTACATGTGAGTCTACTCCTGGACTCTCTATTCTATAAATGTGTTTGTGGAACTTGACACCAAAACTATACTGTCTTGATTACTGCAGCTGAATAAAAGTATTAGTACTTTTGACATTAGGTAGTATTAGTACTCTATCTTTTTTTTTCCCCCAAAGTTGTTTTGGTCATTCTAGTTCTTCGCATTTTCATTTAAATTTAATATTATTTTGTCAATCTCTACAAAAAGGACTACTGTGATTTTTATCAGGATTATTTTAGATCTACATTCAATTTGTGCATAACTGACATCTTAACAATATTGCATCCTTCAAATCATGAACCAGCATATCCTTCCATTTTATTAGGTCTTCTTTAATTTCCCTCAGGAATGTTTTTGTAGTTTTAAGTATACATGCCTTGCATATTCTTTGTCACAGCTATCCCTAAATACTTTGTATTATAGTAAATATTGATTTTTAGGTTCAATTTCTGATATTCATTTATACTAGACAGAAATATAATTTACTTTTTATATTAATCCTGTATTCCATGAATTTGCCAAATACTTATTTGTTCTAGTGGGTTTTAGAGATTTGGATTTTCTGTATAGATAATCATGATGTCTGTAAACAAAGATAGTTTTACTTCTTTCTTTCCAATCACAATGACTTTTATTTATTTTTCCTGACTTACTGCAATGGCTAAAACTACCTGTACAATGTTAAATTAGCAGTGGTAAGAGTGGACATTGATAACTTGTTCTTTATCTTACAGAAAGCATTCAATTTTTCACCATTAGTTATAATATTCATTCTAAGCTTTTTGTACATAAAATTTATCAGACAGAAGGGTCCCTTCTATTCCTAGTTTGCTGAGAGTTTTCAAGAATAGATGTTGAATTTTGTTAAATGCTTTTTCTGTATTTGTTGAGATAATCATATAGTTTTTAGTTTGTCAGTATGATCATTATATTGATTGAATTTAAAATGTTAAATTGACCTTGCATTCCTGAACTAAGCTCTAGTTATTTATGACATATTATCCTTTTTCTCAATTCAGTTTCCTAAAATTCTGTTTAGAACTTTTCCATGTATATTCATGAAGAATATTGGCCTTTCTCTAGTTTTAGTACAAGATAAGGCTAGTCTCATAGAATTAGTTAAAACTCGTCCCTCCTCTTCAATTTTCTAGAAGAGTTTGGGTAGAATTGTCATTATTTCTGTCTTAAATGTTTGGTATCATTCACCAATGAAACCATCTGGACCTAGAGTCTTCTTTGTAAAAGGTTTTTAACTACAAATTCAAAAACTATCAGAGTATCTATTTTCTCTTGAATGAGCTTTGATAGATTCTGTCTACAAGAAATTTGTCCATTTTGTTTAAATTGTTAACATTTTAGGCGTAAGTGTTCATAATATTCTTTATTATCCTTTCTTTCAATACCAGTAGAATCTGTAGGGATATTGCTCCTTTCATTCTTGATTATGGTAGTTTGCATTTTCTTCCCTTTTTTTCTTGATCAGTTTGGCCACCAAACAGTCAATTTTATTAATCTCTCCTTTTTGTTTTATTAATTTTCTCTACTGCTTCCCAGTTTTCTTTCTTTTCTTAAATTTATATATTAT